GGTGGTAGGGAATCCTTCACTGGCTATATCAGTTAGCTTTCGGAATAGCACAGCAAGCTGACCCTGACAAAGCACAGCAGTGACTCTACCTGATTCCTATGTTACTGCTACTGCAAGGGTATCTTCAGTAGTTTTCAAGGGTAGAGCAAATGTTATCTCCTATTGGTAACAGTGGGAGAGCTCCAGACTCTTGCTTTTTATTACTTTAAAATTGTACATGTGTATAATTGCCGTGAATGCTATGGTTTGGAAAGCGTGTCATTAGTGACAAGCTGTGTTTATGTTCCTATGGAAATGGAATTATATTGTTCTTACTGTGCCTCATACATTTGAAACATGATGTTTTGGATGATAATAAAACTATGTAAACTGCATAGTTCTGTACATCCCATGGGATGAGAACGTAAACTTTTATAAAACTTTCTTTGATGCTTAAGATGATTCTTTATAAGCATTTTTGTTACAATGGCATACTATGTATGTTGTACACTGAACCTTTTCTGAAGCACAGTCTCTTTTTCATATGTCTGTTATTTAATACTGCTCCTATCTAACACATGATCTTTAAACAGATGATTTCTAGTTTGATACTGATATTGTCAAATGAATAAATCCAGCTCAGTGCCTTAAGACGTGGTCACTCTGTTCTGTCATCTTTGAAAACAGTGTGGGGCTATGACTGTATTTGGGCCAACCTCCCCTCGCCCAGGTACACTATACACATTGCTCCACTTACTGGGGAGTTGGTTTGAAGTTACTGCTGATGGATTTTGGTAACAGACAATGAGTGTTTCTGACAAAATCTCATTCTCAGACTCCAACACTCCTCAACTGCATGGTTGTTGCACAGCAGTTGTGTACAACGTGCAGTGCTTCAGTCCTGATGTTAATTGCTGCAAAAAATCCTGCTGGGAATAACCCACCTGCTCCACTACTTTGTGCAAAATCTCTAGATGACTAGCTGCTTTGAGGAGAGCTATATAGGGGAGCCCTCTTCATATTTATCCTGGCTGTGGTGATCAGGATATTCAGGGATCAGACTTTCAGTGTAGCTGACTTAAAGAAAACATGGCCTAATGGTTTGGATGCTCACCTTTGCCTTGAGACTCCTGGGTTCAATTTTCTGGTCTTTTGCTGATGGCTTTTGATCTTTAATGAGATTCACAGAATTAGTAGGAAGCAGCTTTTTCAGGTAACTAGAGGTGAGCTCAAAATCTCTTCCCCAGTTTCCCTTCCACAAAGTTAAGGTGTTTATCCCCACCAAATAGTGGCTAGATGTTATGCAAATACTTACGTAGTGGCTAGATACTTCAACAATGAGATCTGGGGGGGGGCTTTTACCATTATTTGAAAAATGTTACACTGATTTTTCTTCTTTTTTTTTTCTCTTTGATGCCACCCTCCTCTCCTCCACCCAATTAAATAATTTAGCATGGAAATCTGCACATGGGGACTGGCTCATTTGTTCTTAGTATATGGCTGTTACGTATCTTCACACTATACAAGAAGTGGACAGATTATCCAAAGTAATTACAGTTTATGTATTGCCAGACATAGGTGATAAGGTTTGGCTGAGTGAACCAATAGCTCTGTATAGGCACACCCACAAGTCTAAACAGTATGAGGCTTCATGACAAATACTGTCTCAGAGGACTGGTACACAGTCAATAACTAGCTGTTCAGGTACACTGAACACCAAGCATTGCTACCAGCTCTGTGAGCTTTCTAATAGCTGAGGACTATTTTTCAGGTGAGCCCCAGGCTGCAGCTAAGCAGGGATTTCTCTCTGGAGCAATACGTCACGTCCCAAGCATATCACATCTCTCCAGTGTATCCCACAGTGGTTGATCCCTGCATTGTGGTTCACCTGTTTGTGCCACCACCTGGGGAACAAGATCAGGGAAATGAACTGGGTTAGAAATAACCTGGGAGGGGGAAGATTGTTTCTCTATTTGGTTGCCTGAGCAGCTGTGCACTTGGAGCAATCAAAGCTGGAGGTGAAGGGGAGGGAGTGAAAAGGGATGGGAGAAAACCCTGCCAGCACAAGCCCCAGGGGGGTGGCTGGTCTGCACTGAGCTGTGGGATTTTGCAAACGATTTGCCTCTGTTTGTGTGAATTTCTGGTGTGTAGTTTCATTTTCTCCTAGGGGGACACTGAAACTCATGCTAGCTGCAAAGGAAAACACAAGTGTGTGCAGAAACCCACTGCTCACAGAACTGGTGAAATTAGGGAGCCAGACATGCCTTTTCTCTTCCTGGGCTTAGCAGGTTTCTTGTCCTCAGATCAGCTTGTGACCCTGAGGCTGAGCCTGCCACTGTGCTCCTCTGCAGGGCTTCCTGATGTGAGCAGCCCACAGCGGCTCTGGAGATCGTGTGAAGGAGTGCTGAGCTCTCCACTCTGTTCATGAAGGAAGATCGGATTTAGGTCATGCCTTTGAAACAACATAGGAGAGAGAGAAGTCAAAGTCCCTTTTTTCCCATTTTATTGTAGCAGCTGCATCTTTGCATCCTGCCCCCTCCTCCTGTCTCCCACGCCTCCTGCAAGTGAGAGAGTTTTGCTCGCTGCCTGGTTTCTGCACGTTTCTTATCTCCTAAACTCAGGCCCCTGATTTTCTAATCCTGCGAAGATGTCAGTGGAGAGAAGAGGCTGGGAGGAGCAATTGGAAGAAGTAGAAATAAGGGTTTTCTTGCCTGGGGGTTAAATGAGCTTCCCTGTCAACCCAAATGGAAGTTGGAGAGATGCTGCAGTACTACAGAGCAGTTTGCCAGCCCTGCCCGTGTGTGGTGGTGGTGAGGATGGGGATGGAGGACCTCGGCCAAGCGCTAATCCCTTTGGTGGGACCTTGGGGAAAACAGCGCGTTGCTTTTCTGGCTAAATGGCAGAAGCAAAGAGGCAGCTGGGGAAGGGACACTGGAGGTGTAACCCCTGCAGCGGCTGGGAAGACCAAGTTGGGAAGGACTGAGGTGTAGGGAGCCACACAGTGCTGTACGTGGATGGCTGGAAACAGCTTCCCTTGGGGCTCTACCAGCTGCTTCGAAGGCAGGCTCAGACACCGGGGGTGAAGACTTGGCTTCCTGCACTTTGCTTTGCATCCCATGTCCAGGGAAGGACTTTGCAAATTCCCAGTGAACAAGCACCAAAGCACTAATTGGAGCTCGAGCATCCTTTTCTTTTCCTTACAGGAAAGGCCCAGCAAGGTCCATTTCTAAAACTGCCACCATCCAAAGCTAATAATTTGGGCAAAAGGAAAACAAGTCATTTATAAATAGCATGTGCTGGCCAAACTCAGCAACGCCCAAAAAAATTCAGCTGGACCTTGGGAGTGGCTCACTACAGTCCCATGGACGCACTCGTGCTGCTTTGGGCTGGCCACCAGAAATAGCCCTGCCGACTGATACTGGGGCATGGTGACTCACTGGGGAGGAGGCGAGCTGCCGTGACAGCCACCAGCCTTTGCTCAACTGCACCCCACACCTCCCGCGCGAGGCAGCACCACGTGCCACTGGAGCGGTGGGGTGGCACAGCCGTGGGGTCGGTCTGAGCTGTGCCCAGGAGAAGGTGGGTTTGTCCGCAGAGAGGCTGTCAGAGGGAAGAGAGCTGGGGATGAGCCAGTGATGCCCCAGAGTGAGATGTGCAAGAGAAAATGGCTGTGCATAGCTGATCCTCGTCAAAGCTACATGCAGCAGCAGCATCACAGTCACCCATAAATTTGATCTCAGGTGTGGGTCTTGCTCTAGTAGGAGCCCATTTCAGAGGAAGGATGCTGCCGTGGTGTCCATGCACAGCAGGGCAATGGCCCACTTTCAGACTACAACGCTAGGCATAGCTTTGCCAAAACGAAAAATTCAAAAAAATGGTGATGTTTGAAAAGTTTAAAATCCCTCCTGGTGCTGATAGCAAGACACACACTGAAGTGGCATGCAACTGAAGAAGGGTGAGGGATGGAAATGAGAGACGGGCTGGGAGGGACTTGGAGAGATGTATGCAGAGCCCAAGAGGAGGGGGCGGCAGGAAGGCATCCATCAAACCTCCGGCAGAGTTGGAGCTCCATGGAGCCAGCAAGCAGCCTGGGGCCTGTTGAGGCTGCTGGCAGTGCGAAGGCTTGCCTTCTCCTGTAACTCTCACTTACAGTAAGTCAAGGTCAACTTTCCTTCTTCCCCTGCCCCTCAAAAAGAGGAGAGGAGAGGGGAGGGGAGAGGAGAGGAAAAAAAACAGTTTGTCCAAAGAAGAAGTCTTCAAAACCAGTGTGTGAATTCCCAGTGTAAGTCTTTTCCCTTTGTCAGCTCCTCTCTCATCTGTCTAAACTGCAAGTGAGCAGGAGCTGCTGCATGTGGTCCTGGTACACGTAAGCTCATGGCAGAGCTGACCCTGAGCAGACCCTGTGCCACACTGTCACTGCAGACGCTGCTTCACGAGCCTTTATCCACCAGCAGTATAAAGATCCCCTCCAGCCACTGAGCTGTTGTGTCTTATTTTTGTGCATAATAATAGTAGCTTCTGAGCTGAACTTGGTGTCCTCATCACCCATGCCAGACCATCCCACAGTCTCCCTCTGCAACGCCGCCTGGTTCCTGCGAGTCACAGCACTGCACATCCCGCAGTGCCAGCCAGCCTGGTGGCCCTCGGCCACAGGCGCAGAGGGATGCTGGGGGAGGCTGGCACCATGGGTCTGCCTCTG